GAAGAGGTATTTGGCAAAAAACAACATTCCAGTGATGGAACATCCACCGTATTCTCCGGACCTAGCACCGTGCGACTTTTTTCTCTTCCCAAAAATCAAGTCTGCGCTGAAAGGGACCAGGTTCGAGTCCGTGGATGCAGTGAAAGCAAAAGCGACGCAACTCTTGAAGAGCATAACACAAGATGACCTGCAGCACTGCTTCCAACAGTGGAAAATTCGCATGGAGCGGTGTAGGGATCGGGGAGGGGACTACATTGAAGGGGATAACATTTCGACTGTCTGATTTTTTTTTAATAAAGGGTTAGAGCATGAATCCGGTTTCTTTATTGCCACACCTTGTATTTGTCATTATCAGTAGTCCACATATGTATTCAGATGTATGAAGTTGATGATACTTGGATATAAAAGGACACAGATCAGATACAGTAGTGTTGTGTAGATTCAAGTATACAAGAATGTTACAAGTGTTTTGTGTATTTTAGCATCAAATACTGATTTTGTACCTTAGAAGTTACCAAGTGCAGGTGTGATAGATGTGTAAAAAATATATTAGACAGTACTCATGAACAAGTACCACCCAGCTCAGAAAAACATCTCTTACATTTTACTAGAACATTTTGTTGTCCTTTGTAAGATTTACTGTATAGTGTGAGATGTTGAAAGCATGGCTCAGTAAACCATATATACAGCGAAACCTCAATTCATCATTTTTGTCAATGGTCCTGAAAAAAGAACAGTGGATATGGAAAAACGATAGGTGGACAGGCCTATATAAAATGAATAAAAGCAGTCACATTTGCCTATATGTATTTACTAAATCAAAAAAGTTTCACCAGTGATATTACTTCACTGTCAAGTCAAATATGCATTACATCTTTTTAAAAAGTCATTAATCCTCATTTGTTTAGTAGCACCTTTCCTTTTCAAACTGAATAATAACCTTTCAATATTAATGATGTTTACTTGGTTGGTTTTTGGTGGTGTCTTGAGCCAGCCATACTTCCCCTCCAGCTCATTGTCTGGTAGGTAAGATGTGTTAAAGGTCTCATAGCAGACGGCTAACCGTACAGAGTGAAAACTGCAACCTGCTACACCACGTTCAAAAATAATCAACCACTGTTATTACTGCCAGTGCATGCTAACATTTGTGTTTGTGGTGTTGCACTTTTTTAAAATCGATCAATCTGTGATTAATGTTTTTCAGGACTAAAATTTCTGGCCAGTCGATACAGGAAAATAATAAAGAACAGTGCGTGTGGGTTTTATTTCCATAGTTTAAATAGGATTTGTTCAGAGGCCACAGAAATTGAACAGCAGATTCAGGAAAGCGATATGTCAGAGAACAACAGATTGAGATTTCACTGTATTTCATTCTTTCTCCAAGAATCAACACACTGCCATATAGTATGAAGCTGCAATGTTATAGCTGTTAGATTAGCAGCATTGTAATATGGGAAGATGTGCCTCCCAGTTCCCATGGAAGTTTCTGATGAAGATCCCCAACAAATAATATTTGCATAATGCTTGAGTAATGTGTTGCAATAATTCTGAACATTATTTTGAATTGTTTCATTTTTGGTCCGTTACACTATCAATCACAAAGTTAATAGAATAGAATAGTTAACAGAATTAATAGTTAATCAAGCTGACATCTCCCATCTTCGGGATGAATCAACAAGAAGGAGCCTAACATTTTATATGAAATGTTTTAAATTTTTAAACTTTGAATATTTTAACATTGACATTTTTAACTTGAGGGAAGTTTCGGATGGGATGTGAGAATTGTTAGTGCATTCAACAATCCTAGCAAGTGTTGTGTTTTTACACGTCGATATACTGTAGCAGCGTAAACGCAGCAAACATAACTGTGTACATTTTAACGACGACAGTGTTTTCATGATTGTACTATGTGCCTCTGATGATGGTTTATATTAAACCGAAACATGTAAGGCAGAAGTGATAAAGAAGTGACCTACAAATTGTTACACTGGACGGACTTTCTATTAACTTTCTGAACATTATGTTTATAAACCAAAGGGACAGGTGGAACAGAGTCATTTGTATGTTGTTTTTTGTTAGGACTTGATTTCATGAGCTCTAATAACTTCACTGCAACCTGCCTGTAATGTCACCTTCCAATCAACACTTGTCATTGTAAGGTGTGTATGTTATAGGGCAAATTGTTTAGCGGTGAACCCATACTTTATATGTGCTTGTGGTCATTGACATTGTTCTCAATACTGCTGTACTGACTTGTGACTGGCTGCCATTTTACAGATGCATGTGAATCCTCCATTTATGGTTGCTGCAGAAAGATTTGTATTCTTGCCAGAATTTGAAGGGACTGGTGTCTGTAACTGTAGTTGGAATTAGAATGTTTTTTTTTTCAGTATGGTGAATATGAAATAAATTGGAAGGAACAATTCATTTGGGTGTTTGTATCAAATTTTGCCAGGAAAGGTTGGAAAATGTTATTGTAGCTCTCTGTTTGAATAGGGCTGTGCCATAGCTCAAGCGGTTAGTCTCTGGCTTCCAACCATGGTGGCCCATGTTCGATCCTGGGTCTGGTCAAGTGGGATTTGTGGTGGACAAAGCGGCGCTGGGGCAGGTTTTCTCCGAGTACTTCGGTTTCCGCTGCCAATCTTCATTCCACCAGATTCTCCATCATCATAATCACCTGGGGCAGGCTACAGTAGGCGAATCAGTGGTCGCCGTGCCGAGTAGACTCAGTTGGACTCCTCCCCCACTACGCGAATTCTGTTTGAATAAGCATTATTAATGTAATGACCAATAAAAGGGTCTTCATGAATTTATTTATTTATTCTGAGTTCATTTAATGCTGCTTTCTTTGGCTCAGAATATATATTCTTGAATGATCAGTGAGTAATGATTTGGGATAGGTGTGGAAAGAATTGTTTGTGACTTTTTATACACTGTTAGGCATTTGCTTGAAGGGATTGAGGATAATCATGAATGATCTCAGTCAGGGTAGCAGTTCTGTGGGCCATAATTTGAACTGGCACCTCCTGGATTTGAAGCATGAGTGATGCCTGCTTGCTTGCAGTTTTTTTGTTCTGTTCTTGGAGAATGCTGCTAATATTAGGCAAAAGGTGCTATCCCTCCCCCCCCCACTTTTCAAATTTTGATCATTCCAGTGAAATAATTTCACTCTTTGCTATGTTCAAACATCCCATAAAATCTGTGATATATAGGGAACTTATTTTCAGACATCTCTGGTTTCTTCTTTCAGTAGAGAGAGTAACCTTTTGTCCTTCTGAACAATATTGGAGATATGTGAAAATTGAAATCCTCTCTATGTTCGTCCTGTCTTCCTCCAATTGTGTCATATTTTGCATACCATGTGGGTGTGTGCTTGCATGCCTGAGGGGGGGGAGGGTTCGAGACATGTTCTCACAAAGGAATATGATGATGTGCTCTCTTAACTTGCCATATTCAGATTTATAATAGATGCCTCTTAATCTCTAATCAAAGCAAGTTCAAACTTGGGTATTTCTGTTATACTTGTGAATTGGGAGATTATATGTGTTGGCCTCCTGCTGAAATTGTATTTCTGTAAACTTATGCTAGGTGTTTATGGTTGTATGTCTTCATGTTAGATATAACTGAACTGGTGTAATTAATGTTTCTGTGCTTTAGAGATTTTTAAAACCTTGGTATTTTCAGGTTCCCCACCTTGCCCTGATTATGTTACTCCTTTAAAAAAGCGTCGATTGGCACGAGAATCATTGTCATCAGAGCAGTCTTTTACTCCACCCACAACCCCTACAATGCTAGCTGACCAGCACCTGTCTAGCAGCTCACCACCAATGCAGAAATGTGTCCAATATGATGTTACTGGCATGAACATGGTGAGTTTTGATGCCTTCGTTACTTTCATTGTCTGAATATACATGATTATATGTTGTGTGAATGCATATACAGAGTCTGGTTAAAGAGTATTCAGACAATTGATACATCAGACATTGTGTGGCACTGAGACACAGCTGTGAACTACATGCCATAATATGTACTTACTGCATGTCCAGATACGCTTACAGCTCATTTAATTCGTTAGTCATACGGAGTTTTTTGTTGCTTTGATTTAGTAATTTCCAACATTATGGAACAGTAAGACTGCATTAAATTTTGTGAGATTGGAAATACAGTGACTGAGGCTCATCATTTGGAGATGCAACAACAGATTACACCTTCCTAATCTTGGGTCACATTTTGAGAAACACAGTGTGTATTTGGGATTTGTAAGGAAGATGTTAAGCAGGTTGGAGGAGGCTAAGAGTCTGTCCTCTTTGTATGAATTCCAAGTAAATGCAATGTTACTTTACACTTGACAAAATCTACTGCCCCCCCCCCCTGCATAGTGCACCTTTTTGCAGTAGGATTTGTACAGATATTTTCAGACTTGCCAGTGGTGACCAATGAGTTGAAAGTGGAGAATGAATGAATCTATGTTAGGAGCCCCGCTTTTCTGGTGTGCTTGTTTAGTGATATCCCTCACTTGTATATGCAGGGTGGATGTGAGGAAGATGACACCATTGCATCCCCAGGAGATGAAGAACCTCATCTGATAAATGATGGTGAATATGAAGACAGAGAAGAAAAATGTGAAGGGGATTTTGAAGGACATGGCAGTCCTATAAATGACTGCTTCAGAAGACAAGGAGCTGTCAGGAACATAGCAGTAACAGACTACTCTGCTCACACTGTGCTATTAAAAGGTGATGAAAGTGAAGGTATAGTTAGGGACAGGAGCACAAATGGTGGACTTGTAATTAGAAGGAATGTTGACCAGCCAGAATGTGATGACACTGATATGGAGGAGAAAGAGAAAGAGGAAATAGAGGAACATATTCAGGCAAGAGAATCTTCAGTGGAAGATGATGCTGATGATGATGATGACGAAGAAGAAGAAGAAGAAGAGACTCGAACTTCTCCAGTTCCTGACATTGATTCTGAGGTTTGTAAAATCTTTCTGCTTATATTAATTTTTCATTGTTTAGATCTTGAGGTACTTTGGTAAACAAGAAAAACACATTTTTATTACACTGATATAATGTTGACCATATTGTATAGTGCCAGTAAGGCAGTTAGTTACTTTCTCATTGTTCTATTCAGTTCCATTTTACTAGAATGCTGGCCATTGCTGGATTAAGAATTGTTACTCCACATTGTAATCAAATCTTTAATATTGATGTGAGAACACTTCAAAATTTGAAGTTTTGGCAGACTTTAAGCAAGTGTGATTTGGTTCAGGTTAAGATTTCATGTTTGATCACAGAATTTTAAATCTCCACCAAATCAGATTCGGTATGTGATCAGAAATGTGTATCAAAAATGCTACAATGAAAAGCAAGACCAGTCATGCACAACTGACATTAGCAGAAGGTTATTCAAAGAAGGTAAAACTTGAAGCTGGTTTAAACTGACATCTCCACGTTTCATACGTGTTAGTAAAGGAAATTCAGCCATATTCACTAGTGGAAGATGAAGGATTCAAACTTCTGATTAACACTCTGGAAACTAAACTAACTTTATGGAGCTGAGCCCTTCTTGAGAAGCTGCCAGTTGTGAAGGTATTCAAGAAACTCCCAGCATTCCTGGAACCCAAAAGTTTATTACGGTGTTGACAAGAGCCCTCCACTGATCCCAATCTTGAACCAGGTCGATCCAGTCCATACTACCCCATCCTATCTCTCTAAGATCCATTTTAACACCATGCACTCACCTACGTCTTAAGTATTCTTGCTGGTCTCCTTCCTTCTGGCTTTCCCACCAATATCCAACGTGCATTCCTCTTCTCCCCTATTCGTTCTACCTATCTTTCCCATCTCATCATCCTTGACTTGATCATTCTAATTATATTTGGCAAAGAGCACAAGTTATGAAGCTCCTGATTATGCAGCTGATTAACGCTCTGGAATCCATGTGTAATTCCTAGAAAATGACCAACAGCTGGATATCGAGACCAAATCAGTGCTACTTATCTCTACCATGGCACCTCATAACATGCTGTCAAGTATATATATAAAGGGAGAACAAGCAGGAAATCATTTATATGGCAAGCATAGCAGGGTCTTGTCAAGTTGAAGACTACCAATTTATGTTGTGACAGATGATGCATGCTGCAGTTGTAGGGTTATCATTGCTGTCAATACAGTGCTTTTCATATCCCCTACACTTGATAATTGCTAAGAAACAGACACATTCTTAATTAAGAATTAATTCTTAACGAAGTGCATAAAATATCAATGAATTAATTTTATGTAGTGATTTTAACATAAACTATTTTAATGATGATGATAATAATAGGAAAGATCTTTTAGACTCTCTCTTACCTTCTTTTAATCTTTTTAGTACATTAATTTTCCTATGAGAATTTTTAATTATTCCTGCGCCTTAGTAGATAATATTTATATTAATACCAATTTGCACGAATTTTCTGTACATCCTCTTACTAATGGTCTGTCTGACCATGAGGCTCAGGTCATCACCTTCAATAATATTACTATTCCTATCCCCAAACGGGTATATTACTTTAGGAGAGATATCAATAACTACTCAATAGGTCAATTTACATTTTTGTTAAGCTATGAAAATTGAGAAGATTTTTTTTCTGGAACTACTGTGAATATGGCTTTTAATAATTTTTTGAACACATTTCTTAGAATCTTCTACGCATGCTTTCCTGTGGTAAAATCCCTATATTCGTATAAACTAAAACCATGGCTAACTTTCTGTATTAGAACATCATGCGCTAATAAAAGGAAACTTTATCTAGTTTTTTGAAACAGCGATGATCCTAATATCAATGAACACTTTAAGAAATATTGTCAAATCTTAGCCAAGGTTATTATGACAGAAAAAGAATACCATTATAATAAACTTTTATTAAAATCTAACAATAAGACTAGAACTACTTGGAATATAGTAAAAACCGTTACTAATAATAAAGGGCCTAATGAGAATGTAACTACAGTGAACTATAAAAAAAACAATTGTCTGGTAACTCCCTAGCTGTAGCAAATGCATTTAATGATTCCTTCTCATCTGTAGCCGAAAAATTACTTATCAAAAACTCCTCGCGGAAAGATTCTTTATCTTATTTACATCAGAATTTTTATCATTCTTTTCCATCTATGAAACTTAGTAATCCGAATACACATGAAATTGAAAAAATAATATCTTCACTAAAACCTAGGAAGTCTCATGAATATGATGTGATATCATTAAGAATTCTCAGATTTAGTGCTCCGTACGTCTTATCACCCTTAACATACATATTTAACAAGATCCTACAAACAGGTATGTTTCCTGATAGATTGAAATTCTCAGACGTTAAGCCATTATACAAGAAGGGTGACAAATCAGAATTTACTAATTGCAGGCCTATCTCGCTCGTCCCAACTTTTTCCAGAATTATCAAAAGAAATCATTTATAAAAGATTATGTTTCCATATAAATAAGCACAATATATTGGTCACTGAACAATTTTGGATTTAGAGAAAAATCATCTACTGAAATGGCAACACATTCTTTTAAATAATATATTGTCATCTTTAGACAAAAAGAATTATGTTGGTGGTTTATTCTGTGACCTACAAAAGGCGTTTGACTGTGTTAACCACAACATACTCCTGGCAAAAATGGAATTCTATGGAATCTTGGGCATGGTAAATAAGTTAATGAGATCATACTTAGACAATAGATATCAGAGAGTATCAATAAAAGATATCGAACTTAATAAAGTGTCTTCAGAATGGGAACTAATTAACCCTTGTGAGCCGAAAGACACCGTATGGGGACCTTTAAAGTAAAGCCGAGTGGCCGAAGGACACCGTATGGTGACTCGCAGGCCGCGCATGCACACAGTGTTTTAAAATCTAATTTTTAGATAGAAATTCTTGTTCTACTTACATTATTTGTGGACACCAACTTTATAAGTAGACTGTTTTCCCTCCTGCATCATCTAACTGAATGTTGCATGTCACTGAATGCAGAGTCCGACGTCGCAATTCATGCACTTTGTCCGTAATTAACTCTGTTTTCCACGTGAAGCGCACACACGCAATGTCAGTCGCGTATTAGCAGGAAGTAGGCCAGTGATGGCGAGTGGTCTCCTCTATTCATAACGCTTATAAAACATCGCAATTTCAACTATGCACCATGGCCCCTTTTTGCATTGAAGATGCCGAAATTGAGAGGCCGCTCGTAAATCACACCATTCAGAATGCGTTACAGTCGATTTTGAAGGGATGTGGAAGCAAGGGGAATGAGGGGATTCCAAGAAGAGTAACTCTGTGTGGATAGTCCAACATATGTGAATAAACAAGCAGAGTTTCATAAAGTCAAAGTAGGATAAGAACTCACCCACACTTGGGTATACAGGAAGCCAACGTGACTGGAGAATGTGCAGTACATAAACATCCTCTCCTATTGCCAGATAAAATACAGACAGTGTGTCAGCACATGCATTTATACTGCAGAAACGTATTGTGCAGAAGCTTTATGTATTTTTGTGGACAGACGCTCAAAATTGGGGAAAAATTTTTTTTGGAATCAGTGTAACAATTTTTACAGATTCTAAAATCTGTAAATTACAATATCTGATTCTATATTCTTTCTAGATAAAAGCAGCGTTTATTCGTTCGTTTATCACAAAAATTGTAGAAATGACAGCATTTTGAGTAACATGATTACAATTTTTATTACTCTACAATGGCGGGCATTTAAATTAACTCTGGCCCGCGGCCATTACCGGAATTTAAATGGCCTGTCTCTTAATGGTTAAATATGGAGTTCCACAAGGCTCTATATTGGGGCCATTATTGTTCCTTATTTACATAAATGATTTCCCATTATCCATTAAGAAAATAGGTAATCCAATATTATTTGTTGACGATACAAGTATTATCATATTAAACACGAGTCATGAAGAATTTAAAAATAATATCAAATTAGTTCTGAATCAAACAATTATGTGGTTTAATAGTAACTTTCTAACATTAAATTGTGACAAATCACACCTTATGCAATTCTTTCTAAAAAAGCACAGGGAAATAGAATTGCAAATAATAGCTAATAATTCAATTATTACAAATATCAATTCTACTAAATTCTTGGGAATAAATGTTAATAGTGCCTTATCTTGGAAGAACCATATTACAGATTTATCATCAATGTTAAATAAGGCTTGTTATGCAATAAGGGCAATAAAGCCATTTATGCCACTTGAATCAGTGAGGATGATCTATTAGTCCTATGTAAATTCTTTATTGTCATATAGTATTATCTTTTGGGGTAATGCCCCTCATAATGAGAGTATCTTCAAAATTCAAAAATGAATAGTAAGAGTTATATCTGGTTCCGGTAGACTGGATTCATGCCGCGGATTGTTTAAAAAATTAAAAATATTGCCACTTCAGTCACAGTACATTTTCTCCTTACTTCTTTTTGTCGTTAAGAACAGAAATTATTTTATAGGTAATACTGATATTCATGATATCAACTTACTTACTTGCTTGCTTGCTTACTTACTTACTTACTTACACACTCACTCACTCACTCACGGAGCTGAGCCCTTCTGGAGGAGCCGCCAATTCTGCAGCTACTCAAGAATTTCCCAGCATTTTATGGAACCCGAAGGTTCATCACCATGTTCACAAGAGCTCTCCACTGGTCCCTATTCTGAGCCGGATCTATCCAATCCATACCATCCCATCATATCTCTCTTAAGATCCATTCTAATATTGTCCACCCACTTATGCCTTGGTCTTCCCTGTGGTCTCTTTCCTTCTGGCTTTCCCACCAATATCCTATACGCATTCCTCGTCTCCCTTATTCGTGCTACATGACCTGCCCACCTCATCCTCCTTGACTTGATCATTCTAATTATACTTGGAGAAGAGTACAAATTATGAAGTTCCTCATTATGCAGTTTTCTCCAACCTCCTGTCACTT